TTGATTGTTCTGGAACCCAAGGAGGCGAAGCCAGCAGGTGGTCAGATAGGAACTCGGGGCCTCAGGCCCAGATAGATTTTACAGTCACAGCCACCAGGAGCGCACAAAGGAAATCATTTCAAAATGAGGACGCGGACTTATTTTGCCGAAGCCTTTTGTTTCCTTTCGTTTCCTTCTATTTCCATCCCCTGCAGCAGAAAATTCGGACAGGTCTACTGCTGGGTGTGTTTTTGGTGCCTTGGGCAAGTCCCAAAGGTCTGACGGTGATTCATCGGGTCCTTCTCTGTCCTCTACTGTACCAGGAGGGTTTGGAGGGTAGAAGGTGGAAGGTCTGATGGTAATTCATCGGGTCCTTCTCTGTCCTCTACTGTACCAGGAGGGTTTGGAGGGTAGAAGGTGGAAGGTCTGATGGTAATTCATCGGGTCCTTCTCTGTCCTCTACTGTACCAGGAGGGTTTGGAGGATAGAAGGTGGAAGGTCTGACGGTAATTCATCGGGTCCTTCTCTGTCCTCTACTGTAACAGGAGGGTTTGGAGGGTAGAAGGTGGAAGGTCTGATGGTAATTCATCGGGTCCTTCTCTGTCCTCTACTGTAACAGGAGGGTTTGGAGGGTAGAAGGTGGAAGGTCTGATGGTAATTCATCGGGTCCTTCTCTGTCCTCTACTGTACCAGGAGGGTTTGGAGGATAGAAGGTGGAAGGTCTGACGGTAATTCATCGGGTCCTTCTCTGTCCTCTACTGTACCAGGAGGGTTTGGAGGATAGAAGGTGGAAGGTCTGACGGTAATTCATCGGGTCCTTCTCTGTCCTCTACTGTAACAGGAGGGTTTGGAGGGTAGAAGGTGGAAGGTCTGACGGTAATTCATCGGGTCCTTCTCTGTCCTCTACTGTACCAGGAGGGTTTGGAGGGTAGAAGGTGGAAGGTCTGACGGTGATTCATCGGGTCCTTCTCTGTCCTCTACTGTACCAGGAGGGTTTGGAGGGTAGAAGGTGGAAGGTCTGACGGTGATTCATCGGGTCCTTCTCTGTCCTCTACTGTAACAGGAGGGTTTGGAGGATAGAAGGTGGAAGGTCTGATGGTAATTCATCGGGTCCTTCTCTGTCCTCTACTGTAACAGGAGGGTTTGGAGGGTAGAAGGTGGAAGGTCTGATGGTAATTCATCGGGTCCTTCTCTGTCCTCTACTGTAACAGGAGGTTTTGAGGATAGAAGGTGGAAGGTCTGATGGTAATTCATCGGGTCTTTCTCTGTCCTCTACTGTAACAGGAGGGTTTGGAGGGTAGAAGGTGGAAGGTCTGACGGTAATTCATCGGGTCCTTCTCTGTCCTCTACTGTACCAGGAGGGTTTGGAGGGTAGAAGGTGGAAGGTCTGACGGTGATTCATCGGGTCCTTCTCTGTCCTCTACTGTAACAGGAGGGTTTGGAGGATAGAAGGTGGAAGGTCTGACGGTAATTCATCGGGTCCTTCTCTGTCCTCTACTGTAACAGGAGGGTTTGGAGGGTAGAAGGTGGAAGGTCTGATGGTAATTCATCGGGTCCTTCTCTGTCCTCTACTGTACCAGGAGGGTTTGGAGGGTAGAAGGTGGAAGGTCTGACGGTGATTCATCGGGTCCTTCTCTGTCCTCTACTGTAACAGGAGGGTTTGGAGGATAGAAGGTGGAAGGTCTGACGGTAATTCATCGGGTCCTTCTCTGTCCTCTACTGTAACAGGAGGGTTTGGAGGGTAGAAGGTGGAAGGTCTGACGGTAATTCATCGGGTCCTTCTCTGTCCTCTACTGTACCAGGAGGGTTTGGAGGGTAGAAGGTGGAAGGTCTGACGGTGATTCATCGGGTCCTTCTCTGTCCTCTACTGTACCAGGAGGGTTTGGAGGGTAGAAGGTGGAAGGTCTGACGGTAATTCATCGGGTCCTTCTCTGTCCTCTACTGTAACAGGAGGGTTTGGAGGATAGAAGGTGGAAGGTCTGACGGTAATTCATCGGGTCCTTCTCTGTCCTCTACTGTACCAGGAGGGTTTGGAGGATAGAAGGTGGAAGGTCTGATGGTAATTCATCGGGTCCTTCTCTGTCCTCTACTGTACCAGGAGGGTTTGGAGGGTAGAAGGTGGAAGGTCTGATGGTAATTCATCGGGTCTTTCTCTGTCCTCTACTGTAACAGGAGGGTTTGGAGGGTAGAAGGTGGAAGGTCTGATGGTAATTCATCGGGTCTTTCTCTGTCCTCTACTGTAACAGGAGGGTTTGGAGGGTAGAAGGTGGAAGGTCTGACGGTAATTCATCGGGTCCTTCTCTGTCCTCTACTGTAACAGGAGGTTTTGAGGATAGAAGGTGGAAGGTCTGACGGTAATTCATCGGGTCCTTCTCTGTCCTCTACTGTAACAGGAGGGTTTGGAGGATAGAAGGTGGAAGGTCTGATGGTAATTCATCGGGTCTTTCTCTGTCCTCTACTGTAACAGGAGGGTTTGGAGGGTAGAAGGTGGAAGGTCTGACGGTGATTCATCGGGTCCTTCTCTGTCCTCTACTGTAGTAACAGGAGGGTTTGGAGGGTAGAAGGTGGAAGGTCTGATGGTAATTCATCGGGTCCTTCTCTGTCCTCTACTGTACCAGGAGGCTTTGGAGGATAGAAGGTGGAAGGTCTGATGGTAATTCATCGGGTCTTTCTCTGTCCTCTACTGTAACAGGAGGTTTTGAGGATAGAAGGTGGAAGGTCTGATGGTAATTCATCGGGTCTTTCTCTGTCCTCTACTGTAACAGGAGGTTTTGAGGATAGAAGGTGGAAGGTCTGATGGTAATTCATCGGGTCCTTCTCTGTCCTCTACTGTAACAGGAGGGTTTTGAGGGTAGAAGGTGGAACTTCTCATCTTTCCAGCCCCGGGTCTGCTGTGAGGCCCACAGCGGGCCCTCGGGAAGTATTTGGAGGATGAAAGGATGGGTGGAGGAAGCCACCCCGCGCCCAGGACGGACGAGGGGACCAGTGTAGTACACTCCTACAAGTGAATGCTACTCAGCCTTAGAAAGGCAGGAAATTCTGACAGCCACACCTGGAAGGCCCCTGATGACATTCTGCTGAGTGAAATAAGCCAGCACAGAAAGAGAAGTACTGTATGATTTGACTTATACGAGGGACCTACAACGGCCAAGTTCGTGATGCAGAAAGAAGGGCGGTGTCCAGGGTTGGGGGAGGGGGCTGGGAGCTTAGGGAACGGCAGGCTCTGCTCTTTCCCCTAACCCGGCGGCTGTGCGTTCAGGGCATGGCGTCTCTCCACAGCTGTCCAGATGCTCCTTGCCATGGCCAGCGCTGAGGCCAGAGGACCAGGGGACACTCAGCAGCCCTCTGGGTCAGGTGGCCCCCGAGAATGGCCCGCCGGCACACCCTGAGCTCTGGGGAACAGTCCCTGTCCTGAGTGGTAGGTCCCCCTAGAAGCGTCACAACGAAGGCTTCTCCTTTTGGAAAGAAGGAACCACTGACGAAAAGATACTGAACTTCCAGAACGGGTCTCACTCCTTCCGTGGGCATCTTCAGAGATCCGCTTCCTTCCGCTGCACGTGGGCTTCCTACGGCCCTGCCAACCCACTCAGAGCTTTCGCTGCTTACCCCTTGATTCGTGGGGCCATGATCTAGGCAGGGGGACAAGGAGGAGACTGTGGACTTGTGCAAATAACTGAAGCCTCTCCTTTTTTAGAGCCAAATTTGTGACCTTGAGGCCCATATCTGTGATGAAGTGTATGAACGAGTCCTGCAGATAGCTCTGTACCTGCCATCCTAATGCCTTCTTATTTCTGTATCTGTCTGTCTATACTCTGGGTATCTATCATCTATTATCTATTCATCATCTATCATCTATATGTCTATCTACCTAATCTATCTATCTAATCTATTATCTGTCATCTCTTATCTATCTATTGATCTAGCATCTATCTATTATCTTTCTGTTTGCCTATCAATCTATCTATCATCTACCATCTGTTTGTCTATTTATCTATCATCTGTCTATCTATGCCAATAGAAATGCTGACTTGAACATCCAGGCTAAAATGTTTACTTTTGATTTTAAGGATGAAAAGTAGCTTCATAAAGCCTGCCCCAGACTTCTCATTGCCTGTCCCCATTTTCTGTTATTTGTGGGGCACGGAGGAGCCTCTGATCTCTCAGACAGAAAAGGGAAGACAGTTGAGTTATAAACTCTTCCAACGTTGGATTCAACTCTAATGTTCTATACCTTTGCTCCTTCTAAACAAGGAACTCTGTTAACTTTTTAATCTGGGGTTTCTCGAACACTTAAGGTAATGTTTCTGAACTGGAGTCCATGTACCGAAGAAACATAAACATGATGTTGGAGGTTTGGGAGTTCTCTGTGCGACTCCATGGAGCTTTGGGTGAGTCGCACCGAGAGCTCACATGAGAACAGGCTCGGGAAAGCACCTGGTACGTGGTGCATGTTCATTTCTCTTTCTGCCAGATTTTTTGTTGTGGAAAATTCTCTTGTTCTTCCATCTCAGGAAGATGTCTCTCCCCTACACTTTGTCCCCCTCCAGTCCTGCAGGGGCTGCTAAGGACAGAGGTACAAGAACGTTAGCCGGGAGTGGGAATCGGAACAGGACTTCCTGAGAAGGCCACTGAATTACATGAGTGGAATGAAAACCAGAGCCCCTAAAGTGAGCAGCCTCCACACCTCTTTTCTCCACGTGGCCCACGATGGTGAATGTGGGCTGACGCCAGAGTACACAGCGTGGGAGCTTGTTTTCTTCAGATGGGCAATGTCTGGGGAAAGCCCGTGACTGGTTTCCTGGCACAGCTCGCCAAGTCGGTCAGGGATGCGGTGCAAATGCCCTGTGCAGGCTGAGGACGCCGAGGGGCGTCCAGGAAGAGAACCCTTCTGGGAGCCAGGTGTGGCCCTCAGTAAATGCTTCCTACATGAGACGTTTTGGGAGAGGGTGAATATGCTCCAAAAATATGTTTCAAATGGAATTATTCATGCTTGGCTTTGTTTGGCGTGTTTTCTCTCACAGACACATGGACTGCCAGGAGATAGCAAAGGCGTTCATGCGTGCGTTCCTTTCTAAGGATCCCTGTAGCTCTGCAGAGCAGGACTACCAGCAGCTGCTGAGGCTGACCAATCAGACCATACCCTGTGGCACGGTAACTGGGTCAAGTTCTTGATTATAAAGCTGAGGCTGAGAGCCAGAGGGAAGCGGCCACAGGACCAAAGTTTGACCAGGATAAGGGAAGAGAAATAATCTGGACAGAAAAATGTAGGTGTGGTTGGTGAGGTTGGAGTTTGTGGGGTTACTGGGAGAACAGGATATGATTAGGATTTAGGACACGGGGGAGGGATGTAAGAGAGAGAAATGGGACCATGCAAAGACGAGAGGATACTTGGTTAAAAATCAGGCAAAACAGCCCGGCTGGTGTGGCTCAGTGGTTGAGCGTCACCCCTGCACCAAGAGGTCGCCGGTTCTATTCCCGGTCAGGGCACGTGCCCAGGTTGTGGGCCTGATCCCCAGTGGGGGGCATGCAGGAGGCAGCCAATTGATGTTCTCTCTCATTGATGTTTCTATCTCTCTCTCCCGCTCCCTTCCTCTCTCTCTACAATCAATAAAGGGAAAAAAAAAAATCAAGTAAAACAAACCTAAAAGGAAACCCAATCCAACCTAATCAAAAAGAACCCAACCTTACATAATTACAAAACTTTCCCTCCTCTGGTGATACCAGCAACCACCACCACAACACAACCACCACCACCACCACCACAACATTGCCACAATGCCAATTTGCATTTGCCATCCTGTGGAGTAGGCAGGCCAGGTGCCACCACGCCCACTTCACCAGTGAGAACGGTGAAGCCTGGTGAGTTTAGGTGACCAGTGACTCCTAAACTTGATGATCTTGAAAGTGACCGGTTGAAATGGCAACAGCTTTGGACCAGAGTGGCCTGGGTTTTAACACCTTGATTCATGATACAGGAGAAAGCCTGTAATGGAGCGAATCTTTTCTGAAGTCAGCATTAAAGGTGAAAGTTCAACATGCCCCGAACCATCTTTGGGACACCCTGTTCCGGCCTCTCCTCCCATCGATGGAGAGCTGGAATGTTAGGGAGCTCCTGCGGGTCCCCGAGCTCGAGACCTTGCCCTTGAGAGCTGCTTGGTAGACGCCTGGGTGACACTGCTGAATGAGTGACTGTGCCCCGGACACGGGACCAAGCACTTTATCTGCGTGTCTCCTTTAGTTCCTCAGCATCTCAAGTGTTTCTTGCAATTAGTCTTGTTCCCACTTTACAGATGGGGAAAGGGAGGCTTTGCGATGCTTCGCGGGTCAGAGAGCTCCTCAGCAGCGGGGCTGGGCTTCCTGAGGCCGCGGACTCCCGGGCCCAGGCTTCAAACACACCCTCCACGGCCCGAGTCAGAGCGAGGGATCCATGGAGCTGAAGAGTGTTCTGAAATGGGACCTTTTCTACCTTTCTAAGGAACCCTGAGGAAACTCACTTCTGTGTGTGCGGTGATAGGGGAGATTTGGGAAAGGAAGCAGGGGGCACGGAGCTCTTTGAGAAACAAAGAGCGCTTCTCCCCCAAAATGGCACACAGACAAAATTGTTTTGCAAATCACTTTAGGAATTTTGTAACTTCCTAATGCCTCCTCCGGATGTGCTCCCATCCGATGTTTAGCATAAGAGTTTGATCAGTGGCTTTCAGAATAATGATCGCATTTTACATTGTGACCTAAAACACACACACACACACACACACACACACACAGAAAGCAGTGACGCCCTGAGCAACACTTACCTTGGCTATATGTGATTCACTGATATTTTCTGTGTTTGTCTTTCATTTAAAAAGATGTGCATTTTTTTTTTTTTGGCTTACTAAATTGATCTCAATAATAGTTTGTGTTTTTTTTTTCTTTCTTAGAGTGTCTTTTGGAGCAAATCAAATGAGCTGGCGCACCAGTACACCAAGGTCCAGTGGGCGATGTTCACGCTGGAGGACATGCTGGTGGGCTACATGGCCGACAACCTGGACTGGTGTGGAGACCACAGCTCCTCTGGTGAGGATGGGCCCATCGGGATCATCCAGGGATGTGCGGGGTGAAGGAGCCGAGCTCTGCTGGGGGCCCTGAAAATCAGTGTGGAGGATGGAGCCCCAGGTACCCACCCTGATGCTGTCTATGCCCCAATGACAACTCAGCTTGATGTAAACAGTGTTCTTTAGACCAGCTGATGTGTTCATCCTTTTTTTCGATCCCCGTCACCGCTCCTGAGTCCAGAACACTAGCACAGTCCTTGCTCGGACTGTTCTGACAGTCTTACCACCCACTCCTTACTCTTCGAGCCCGGCCTCCATGAACATCCCAGTGAGACTGTTTCTGTCCCTGGCCTAAACCAAAATGGCTGTCTTTTGCCTCTAGGATAAGGTCCACATTCCTTAGCATGGCCTGGCCTGTCTTTCAGATGTCTCCTCTCCCGGCAGTGCCTCTCTCCTCCCTCTGCTCTGGTGGTACCGGTCTAAACCCATGAGGCTGTTTACACCTCTGGGCCTTTGCACATGCGCTCTCTGCCTGGCGACCCTTCTTTTCATCTGTCTGAAGACTCCTAGTCATCCTTCAAAATCAAGTTCCACATCAACCTTCCCTGGTGGTGCTGCAGCCCATCCCCAATCTGAGTGGATCTTTCTCAGATGTATTAGATTATGCTGGATCACCTGGTCTTTGAAGACAGGGCTTCTGTCTAATTCACCTCTCTAACCCAGGACTCAAGCCTCCAGTGTCTGTGCTGTCAAATGCAGCTTAGAATGACAATGTGGCATACACACACACACACACACACACACACACACAAAGCGAAACATTATTCAGCCTTAAAAAGAGAAATTCTGTCATTTCCGACAACACAGGAGGGCATTCTGCTAAGTGAAATAGGCCGGACAGAGAAAGACAAATACTGCATGGTGTTGCTTCTATGTAGAAACTGAAAAAAATGAACTCGCGGAAACAGACTAGGAACGTGGTTGCCAGGGGCAGGGACTGGGAAAGTGTGAGCAGGCTGGGAAAAGGGCGCAGGCTGCCACTTACACGTTGAGGAAGGCCCGAGGATCTAGTGCGCAGCACGGGGACGACGGCCAATAACACTGTAGAAGCACGACTGAAATTCTCCCGGACAGTAGAACCTACATGTTCTCACACAGACGCACCTGCAAAGGTGACTATGTGAGCTGATGGATATGCTGATTGACTCCACGCAGGGACATCTTTTCACAGTGAAATATGTGTATCAAACCACCACACTGTATACTTCAAATATCTTACAATCTTATTTGTCAATTACACGTCAAAAATAACTAAAACAGTCCAGCCGGTGTGGCTCAGTGGTTGAGCATTCGCCTATGCACCAAGAGGTCACCGGTTCGATTCCCAGTCAGGGCACATGCCCAGGTTGTGGGCCTGATCCCCAGGGGGGGCGTGCAGGAGGCGGCCAATCGATCTTCTCTCTCATCGATGTTTCTATCTCTTTCTCCCTCTCACTTCCTCTCTCTCTCAAATCAATAAAGAAAAAAACAAAACATTTAAATAAAAAATAATAATAAGTGTTTGTGCATCAAGACAGGTATCCTTGGGGAAGAGACACGGGAACTGTGTTCAGGCCCCGACTTTTGTATCTCGCCAAGGCCTGAGCCTGTCCTGAGGGGAGAGTGTAGGAAGACTCGAGGCCATCCGAGCCTAAGGGTGTGGGTCCAGGGGGAGGAAAAATGAGCTGGCAACGGAAGAGACTTGGCAGGAAGCAGAGGAGCAGGTGAGGAGAACGGCCCCAGCTGGCCCCTTTCCAGCTCTGATTTCCCTGCGTTCTGGGATATTGTTGGGGGCTTGTCTCTGTCGGACAAGCTTCCTGCAATTTCCCAGAACGATGACTCAAAGCTGGTCACCATGTTCCCGTCTGGGGTTTGGAGGGTAAGGTAAGGACTTGGATGGGATTCAGGGGGCACTTAGTTAAATTGAGTCGAGACGTGTCCATGGTCCGTCCTCCTTGGCAGCGATGCCGTTGGGTAATGGCTCTGCTTGGACGGAATAGCTGGGGAGGAACAGAGTTCCTTTACACCTTTCACTTGCCACGTTAGTCCTTTTCTGTAAACTCTGTCTTCTAGACATGAACTATGAGTCTTGTCCACACTGGAGGAAAGACTGCACAACCAACCCCAAGTCTGTGTTCTGGGATGCGGTGTCCAGGAGGGTAAGTACCAAACGTGAACTTCCCGAATTCTGGGCACGAGGGCGTGCAGAGGTCATCTAGTCCGTGGCCGAATTCTTTTCAAATCACGGATCCTTTTAGGAACAAACGTTTGGGATTCTTTCCTGAGGAAAATGTTCTTGAGTACCTTCTAGAAGATTTTCACACATGATTTTAGGGCAAACAGGGAGGGCCCTGGGACCCCTGTAGAGGAATTCTGTTCTTACTCATTTTTTCAGCTTTGGCTGCCAGAAATCTGCTTGGTTTAACCCCCCGGTTCGAGTATTGGCCAGTCCTAGGTTCCTGGAGCAGTCTTTTTTTTTTATTTAATTTTTATGAATTTTTATTTATTTATTTGTTACAGATATTTTACCTTTTTACCCCATTGGCACCCCCCCCCCCACCCTGTCCCCGGCTTAGTTGTCCATGTCCATTGGTCATGCATACATGCATATAAGTTCTGTGGTTTATCTCTCCCCCCCCCACCCATCCCCTCTTCTGAGGGATGTCAGTCTGTGCCCTACTTCCATGTGTCTGGGTCTACTGTATTCCTCAGACTGTTATGTTCATTATATTCCACAGATAAGTGAGATCATATGATACCTGTCTTTCTCTGTTTGGCTGGTTTGGCTTAGGATAATACTTTCCAGGTCCCTCCATGTTGTCTCAAAGGATAAGAGATCTTTCTTTCTTACAGCTGCATAGTACTCCATTGTGTATATGTACCACAGCTTTTTGATCCATTCGTCTACTGGTGGACACTTGGGCTGTTTCCAGATCTTAGCTATTGTAAATAGTGCTGCTATGAACATGGGGGTACATATATTCTTCCTGATTGGTGTTTCAGGCTTCTTAGGGTATATTCCCAGCAGTGGGATCAATGGGTCAAATGGAAGTTCAATTTTTAATTTTTTGAGGTAGCGCCATATTGTTTTCCATAGCGGCTGCACCAGTCTGCATTCCCACCAGCAGTGTACTAGAGTCCCCTTTTCTCCACACCCTCACCAACACTTGTTGTTTGATGATTTGTTGATGGCGGCCATTCTGACAGGTGTGAGATGATACCTCATTGTTGTTTTAATTTGCATTTCTCTGATGATTAGTGATGTTGAGCATTTCTTCATATGTCTCTTGGCCATTTGTATGTCCTGTTTGGAGAGGTGTCTATTCAGCTCCTCTGCCCATTTTTTAATTGGGTTCTTTGTCTTCCTTTTGTGGAGTTGTATGAGCACTCTATATATATTGGAAATTAACCCCTTATCTGATACATCATTGGCAATGATGTTCTCCCATACAGTGGGTTGCCTTTCCATTTTGATGATTGTTTCTTTTGCTGTGCAGAAGCTTTTGAGTTTGATGTAGTCCCATGTGTTCATTTTCTTCCTGGAGCAGTCTTAATAGTCATCCACAGAGCACGATCCTCAGGGCTTCACACGCATTCAAACCATTCACAGGGACCCTCTGAAGTTGGTGCCCTGAGCGTCACACCATTTTACAGATGACAGAATGGTGCTGCATGCCAGAGAGCAGTCGACCCACTGTGCACCACGAGCGGCAGGTCTGGGCGTTAATCCCAATCGTCTCACACCACATTCAGAATCCGGGCTGGGAAACATTCCCTGTCTCCTGCTCTCTGCTTCCTTCTTCACCCTAAGCTGCCTTTGTGCATATTTCTTTCTTTTTTTTTATTCCTCATCCAAGGATATTTTTCCATTGTTTTGTTTTGTTTTTAGATAACATGGGAGGGAGGAAAAGAAAAAGAGAGAAACATTGATGTGAGAGAAACACAATGGTTGGTTGCCTCCTGCATGACCCCAACTGAGGCTGGGAATCGGACCTGCAACCCAGGTACGTGCCCTTGACCAAGAATCAAACTCGAAACCCTTGGGTCTGTGGGCTTCGCTCTAACCACTGAACCACACTGGCCAGGGTGGTGTATATTTCTTTTTCTTGTAAATCCTTTGCATGCAAGTGGACTAGGAAAAATAGGGAAAGAAAGGAAGGAAGGAGAGAACAAGAGGGCGAAAGTAAAATGACACTATTTATAATTCTCCAAAATTAAATTCGGACACCTAGGAGCAGGAGCAAGTGGAAACTCACATGTGTTAAGTGCATATTTGGGACAAGTCCTGGGCCAGGTGCCTTACCTGTTGTTCCATTTAGTCCTCACAGTAGGTGCCGAGGGAAGGTTATGGGGAGGAAATGAAGACTCAGAGGTTAAGGGAAAGGGACTCTCCAAGGTCAGTGGGTGAGTAAGGAGAGAGAGCCCAACCCACCTCGGAGATTCAGGTAGACCCTGGCAGCGACAGGGACACAGCCTGGGACTTGAAGTAAGAGAACACTTCAACTTGGACAGATTCTTTAACCATCCGTCCGACCTTCAGATTCCTCATTTATCAAATAGGAATAAAACGAATGCCTGTCCCGTAGGGTTACCGTGAAGTTGAACCAAGATACCACTATCCGGTTAACCGAGGATGCATTCCTTTAGCAAACGTGTTCAGTGCCTACTACATGCTTTGACGAGTCAGGGGCACTCTATAGTTTTTTGCTGTTTGTTTTGTTGAGAAAAGTTTCTTGGTTTTTCTGAGAAAAGTGTCTGTTTTATTACTCTACGATGTATTTTGGGCAGTGCTGTTGCTAAGAACTTTTAAAGCCGAGTCACATGTTATATGTAGCAAGCACCTGCTTGTGTTGCCCACACTGTCCTTGGAGCACAGCGGTGAAGGTGACCGAAGGCACACCCAGCACTGGGTGCTGCCCTGGGTCTGCACATTTATCTTGGCCAAAGCTCGCTCGTGGGTGGAGAGAGACGGCCTTCTTTGATCACCCTACAGCCTTGCTTTTCCTGACAACAGAGGCAGTACCTGTTGGGGTTTGGATCCTCATCCCACTTTCTCACTCCCAGGTGACTTTGGGGTAAATGGACCCAGCACTTACATGGCACTGTAGGGCCAGCTCTCAGTCCTGTAAGCCTGACAACAGAGGCAGTACCTGTTGGGGTTTGGATCCTCATCCCACTTTCTCACTCCCAGGTGACTTTGGGGTAAATGGGCCCAGCACTTACATGGCACTGTAGGGCCAGCTCTCAGTCCTGTAAGCCTGACAACAGAGGCAGTACCTGTTGGGGTTTAAATCCTCATCCCACTTTCTCACTCCCAGGTGACTTTGGGGTAAATGGACCCAGCACTTACATGGCACTGTAGGGTCAGCTCTCAGTCCTGTAAGCACTCGGTTGAGTTAACACTTGTAATTGGGCCTCTGTCCTTTGCTCGTCACCTCCAGCAGAAAGACAGAAGCCACAGTGGATGTTCACAAGTTTGTTTCAAGTTGTTCAGTGGTGTTTTATCACCTGCAGACGGACGGCCAGATTTCTTGGCAAAGGGCTCATGGCACTCTGTGAACGAACTTATCTATCTCGCTTCAGAATCCACGGCGGTTGGCCCCAAACACCTCTGTTCTCCCAGCCCCCAGGCCGATGCAGCTGCATCGCATCGGCCTTCACCAGGGGAATCCTACTCATCTCTTACCCTCCATTGCCCTCAGTTATGTTTTTTCCATTTCTGTCCCAATCTCCACCACAGAGCGTTTGGATTTCTTGCTCCCTCTTTTCCTCCCTTCCTCCTTTCACAGATTTTCACAGGGTGCCCACTCTGGGCCCCACATTAGCTTCGAGGCTCCAGGGCCGAGTGGCAAGGAGGCCAGCTAGGTTCACAGCTCTCAAGTGCTCTCAGCACCAGCGCCCAGGCCCACAGGAAGCTCATCTTCACAATGTGGGATGGTTGGACAAATCGGGGAAAGCGGAGCCAGTCCCGGGGGCGGGCTTCCTGGAGAAAACGCGCGGATTGCTTTGTTTTGTTCATTGTGTTTTCCCCAGTGCCTAGCACAGGGTTCGGATGAATGTCTGCTGCATGAGGAACGAACACTCTTTCCTCGATGATATTCATTCATGTGTTCCCCATTTCTCTTTGTGCCCGTGCAGGCCTGTGCTGATTTTCTTGGTGTCCCCATTTCGCTTACCCCTGGATTGTCTACCCTGCTTCCTAAATGAAATGTGCGGTGTCTGCAGTGGATGGCGCCAGGGAAGCACTTTTTTTTTCCCTTTTAAAAATATTTTTATTGATTTTTTTAGAGAGAAAGAAAGGGAGAGAAACATCGATGTGAGAGAGAAACATCGATCAACTGCCTCCTGTACGCCCCCTACTAGGGATCGAGCCCACAACCCGGGCATGTGACCTGACCAGGAATGGAACTGAGACCTCTCAGTCCATGGGACAATGCTCAATCTGCTGAGCCGCACCGGCCGGGCAAGAAAGCACTGTTTATTCTCTTCCTGCAACAATGTTCCTCTTACTCAGCTGAACTTCTGGCTCCTAAGCCACCAGTTCAGTAACGATGATGTTGACCTTCATTGTGCAAACACAGATGAGAACACCTGCTTCCAGAACTTTTACATGCAGCACAGTCCCTCCAGGAGTTTGGGTGGAAGTACATAGGCCTTGTGATACTGAGCTGGGAGCATACAGGTTATTTCCCACTAATGCTAAGAGCTGTTTGGGTGCAGACGCTGGGGTGTGCTGATTAAGTTTACATGTGGATGAATTGTGGGCTTTTGTTTTTTATTTTTTCAAGTTTGCAGAAAATGCCTGTGGTGTGGTCCAGGTGGTGCTCAATGGATCCATCAGTAACACCTTTGATAGAAACAGGTACTGGGGGGAGGTTGGTGCGGGGAGGTGGAAGAGGGTATAGGGAGGATAAATGGTGATGGACAAACACAGGTACTTATTTTTTTGCATTCTATTTGCAAAGGTTAGCACAACCTTCTATTAGATATTTCATCTATAGAAAAATAGACTTCTCATGTTTAAGGTCACTGCTGGAGATTTGGGTCAAAAGAGGTAAAATGTGTGTCTCCTATGGAGAGATTTGTCTTTCTAAGTGAATGTTTTTGACTGTTGCACATAATCCTTTAAAGGTTTTAATGGTCCTTGCGCTGTCCAGCTTCCGCTCTTGAGTTTTTGAGGCCTGCTGGAATCTTTTCAACTCTGGCTACCATCACACTCCCCACTGCCCAGTTCCCGCCTTTGTTCACGCTGTTCCCCACTACGACCAGCCCCCTCCCTCCTTCTGCCTATCGAAATCCTCACCACCCATGAAGATCTGTGCTTACCCCTCTCTCTTCCATGAACATGGGAGTCCCAATTCAGTGTTACAACTACTATTGGGTACCTCAGGAGCTGTACCTCTTTGCGGGCATGGTCAGCTGGGACTTCAGAGGTCGTCACGTATTACGTGTGGGACTTCAGGCAAGGCGCTTAACCTCTCTGAGCCCCTGTGGTATGCACCTGCAGAGGCGATGGGGTTGGAAGATGAACTGAGACAATGTATGAAAAGTGCTGAGCTCTGTGCCTGGCAAAGAGAAGGTGCACAGTGCATATCAGCTTTTATTCTCTCATTTAATCCACCATTGGCCTCACAATGCCTTCCCTCTCTGCTGCCGTCTAGACCTACAGTTTTGACCGCGGGGGTTACCTTTGCCGTCCTCCTTCTCCGGTCCTTCCCTGGAAACAGCTGGATTGAGAGGAGGGAGCACTCTAGGGGCCCCACGAAATTTCCTTCTCTCCTGTTTTAATCTTTAATTATACAAAGAGGCATTTGTTCTGTTGTCTTCTTTTGACATCAGCCTTGTGGGGTTTTGGATGAAAGTGCTGACATTCAAGAATTGTACGATCTGGAATGAGGGGCCTACGTACTTGGGGGAGAAGTGGCAGGTGTCGGAGACTCCTGGGGAAGAGGTCAGGAGTGGGGTCAGAGCAGGACGGCAGGGTCTTCCAGAGCCGGGCTCCCACTTGCCTGAGCGTGGGGATCACCTGGGGATTGCCCAGCTACGGATTCTGGTTCAGCAGGGGGGGTGGCCTGAGATTCTGCCACTCTAACCAGCCCCCACCCGCTGTTGGTAAAACAAAGACTTAAAGAATCGACATCAACGTCCAGATTAGGAATCTTATTTTGAGGATTTTATTCATTGAGGGTCACACTGAAAGAGTAAAAGTGGCGTCAGTTCCAGAGAGTGGGTTCTAAGCAGTGGTCCCCCACATACGGGCTTTTCACAGGGGCTCTGACCCATTTAGTTTAGGGTTGACATTGATTTTTATTTCTTCTATCTTAGCACTTTTGGACGTGTAGAAATCCATAATTTGTATCCAGGGAAGGTGCCTACATTACAAGCCTGGGTGATGCATGACGTTGGAGGAGTTCACAGGTATATGTTACTACTTTGCACCCATATATTCTCAGGGTTCTTTTAGAAATCAACCCGAAAAAGAATCCAGTCTCAAGAATGCACTGCGGAAAGACTGGCTCAGGAAGTGAATGGGGCCTTGCTCTTCATTCAGCCCATCCAATGACCTCGCAGTGTTCTCTCAATAGTAGGTGTCTACCTGGTTCCAACCTTCGGCTCCCCCGCTGACCTGTGAACTCTTAGAACAACCTCTGCTTCACCTCTTTATCCCAAGGCTTTGTGCAAGGCCTGCTACCTAGAAACTGATCCAGGAAATGTTTGCAGGATATTGTTATCTTAACACTTTCTTCTTTCCTAGACACTCATGCTCGAGTCCTGACATAAATGATCTGAAGTTGATTTTAAGAAACAGGAATATTAGATTTACCTGCCAGGATGACTACAGGTAATTGATTTGTTCTTGCAGAAGAAATAGTCACCTTGGCATCTGCAGGCATTTTCCCTGGGGCCCTGATGGTGATCTGGGGTGGTGACCTATGGTGATTTCTCCTCCTCCCCCACCCCACCCCCGGCCCCCAGCCTGACCTGAGGTGTTCATAGCCAGTGACCTGAAGAAACAGGTTGCTGCTGCTTCTGTTTTTTGAGCCAGACATTCCTTTTCATCTCCACATGACATCCTCAAACACTCTTCTCTGTATTTATTTTTATGGCTTTACAAGGGAAATGAAACTAAACTTGGCCCCACTTAAAGCCATTCACTCCTGAACCGGACCTTTCTCCATGTTGTCACTGCAGGAGAGGAACCGGTGTAGATGCTGAGGGGCCAACGCGTACTTTTCTTGCTAATGAAGGGTCTTCTTTCCGTGATGAATTGAATGGGAGATGTAGTGTACTGCCTCTAGATCCCATTTTTTGCTTCTTGTCACAGGCCTATCAAGTTTCTTCAGTGTGTGACAAATTCCGAGCATTCGTCTTGCAATTCTGTAATGTGAGCCTTCAGCGCGGTGGCTCCAGATCGTTGAGCCTTTGTGCAGCGCGTGGCCGTGCACGACCCGGAGACACGCTGGTGGGAAGCTGAGGACTGGGGGGTCATCTGTCGTCATGTCAACACTGGTGATGAAGCCTTTCCCCTAAAGTCTTAAAATAACTTGTGTTATTGGCAGAGTTTTTATTTTGATCTCTTAACATTCAAGAAAAGATTGATTACTATATAAAATTAAAACTAAAATGTTATGTTATTTTAATTTTTATATGATGCCTTTATGTTGTTTATATGTGGGTAGCATCCTTTCTGCTGAAGAATGACCACACCAAACCTCTCTTATTGGACTAGGCTAGGAAAGAAAGGTAGATGCCCAAGCTTTCCAGAAAACATTGCATTTCCGCATGAATGACCTTGAATCAGGATATATTTTTGTAACCTTTTTACAGATAAACTATCATGCAATTGTTATGGGTTATATTGGGGAAAATATTCTGTAGGATATAAGATACCCATATATTTGGCTCTTTACCTCTACCCTTCTATCAGCTCTACGAGGCTGATATTATTATCTCCCAATCATTAGAGAAGAAAATGGAAGAGAAGTTATATAATTCGCCTAAAGTCATACATCGAGTTCAAGGTAGAGGCTGAATTTGAACTCAGCTCTGTCTGACTCCAAAGTTACATATGCTTCCTCTTTCTAGGCCTATAATACCAAACTGACAGTATGTTCACTTCCAATAAGTACATGTTGGATTAAATTGAATACACTATAATCCGGAATGTGATTTTTCTGAATGGCTTCAAAATAGATATATATTTTTTTCATCTTCTTCCTCTTCCTCTGGCTTTCCATGCTTAAATAGGTAGTGGGCAGTTAAAATATGTATTGTTCTTGATAATAGCAGTTCAGTTTGTTCATTTCTTTCCTTTCTTTTTTTTTTTTGGTCAGTCTTGTTTGGGAATTAGCACTTTTATTGCTCTCTCAAAAAATCAACCTTTAGACGAGAAGGTGGAGTGCAAGGTGAACGGCCTGTCCTGGGGGCTCGACTGGGCTCCTCAGCTCTGCTTCTCAGAGGGGTCCTCAGAAGGAGGAGGAATGGCTGTCGACCAAGCCAAACGCAAGGAATCAGTGATGCTCAGGGATGTGGCTACAGATTTCTCTCCAGAGGAGTGGAAATGCCCGGACCCAGCTCAGAGGGACATGTACAGAGATGTAATGCTGGAGAACTATAGCAACCTGCTGTCAGTGGGACTTTACATACCTAAACCTCAGTTATCTCCTTATTGGAACAAGGGAAAGAGCCCTGGATGGTTGGCAGAGAGCTGGCAAGAGGCCTGTGATCTCCAGACAATGCCCAAGATTCTAACCAGTTCTGACTGTCCACCGTGGCTATGTTTCCATATTGATTTAACTCCCTATATCCACCTATAAAATTAGAATATACTGCCTTACACCCTCATATTCCTGATTACTCTGAATAATGGTAATGATTTATTCTCTAAATATTTTAGGCTTCAACTTCTTTATTTTTATCATTATTTGAAAATGGCTTATTCTGTCTGCCAGCAATGTATTTATCTGATACCTTGAGTTCCAAAGAAATTATCCATATACTTCTTACATGAAGTTTACGACCCACCCATAAAAGCCCTCATTTACAATTCTATCTTATTATATTCTATCACAAATATGTTTTAACCCACACTGAAAGCAGAAAATCAAATAATTCCTTTAAGATGAAGAGCCAGTCATTAAACTGATGGATCTATTATTCTCTTAGCTTGTTTTTCTTTCTTTGAAAGCCTGTGGTGAGTCACTGCCACAAATGATTTTAATACCTTTTCTATAATTTCACCTAAATGAAATGATACTGTAGGCAATCTTTTTGTTTGACTTCTTTCATTTAGCATAGTGAGATTTTCCATGTTGTTGTATATATTGATAGTGTTACTTTTTTTATTTGAAAAATATTAGTTTCCTTACACCAGATTTGCCTTAAGAAAAGTAATTCTATGTTGGTTGTAAATATAAAAATAAAGACAACAATGTAACAATCAAAAAAAGTCATCCCTATTGTGAAAGAGTAATAAATACTAAATTAATCTTTATCAACAAATAAAATGAAGCAGTTCTCTCAAAAAAAAATCAACCTTTAGCTTTGTTGATTTTTTTCTTACTATTTAATTCTTTTTTTGTTCTTCTCTTTATTATTATAGATAGACATTTCTTATAATTTATTTAGATTTTTAAATTTAGCTTCTTGCAATGGAAGCTTTGATCATTGCCCTTTTTTTAGCCTGTTTTCTTTAAAAAATTTTTTTCTTTATTCATTTTTTTTAGAAAGGAAGGGAGAGGGAGAGAAAGATAGAAACATCAATGAGAGAGAGAGCACTGATTGATTGTTTCCTGCATGCCCCTCACTGGGGACTTGCACCACAACCTGGGCATGTCTGACCAGGAATGGAACTGACGACCTCCTGGTACATGGGTTGATGCTCAACCACTGAGGCACGCCGGCTGGGCTGTTTTCTTTTTTAATACATATATTTTTAGTACTATAAATTTTCCTCTGAGTACTACTTTAGCTGCAGCTCTTAAGTTTTGCAGCTCTTTTCATTATCATTTAGTTATAAAATATTTTCTAATTTAATTGTTATTTAGAAATGTGTTGCTTAATTTTGAAATATCTGGAGATGTTCTAGGTTTGTTTTAAAAACATAGATGCATTGAATAAATAATTATTAAATTTGAGACTTCTTGAGAGAACCCACTAGGTTTATTGAAAACACCATAAATTTTGGAGTCAGGCATTTCTAGCTTTATATTTTGGCATCACTCTGTGATGTTAAACAAAATACTTAATCTCTTTGAACTTCAGTTTCCTGGTCACTCAAATAAGGATTATAAACTTATTCCCATTAAAATGTAATGAGAATTAAAGAAGATGACAAAAATTGACAAGCCAAACAGTTTCTTGTATGCAAGTAATATGCTCAACCAAGGTTGACTCCTTTCTGCCTGGCTGGCAATCCAGTGTCTTTTAGCAGATCTTGAAGCTACAGCCACTGTAGTTAGTCCATGGATTCTTGACTAGCTCCTTCTCCACTTAGGCACATCCTCACGCGATTTAGTCCTAACTGGACATGAAGCTGGGTGCTTGGGACCAGTTCTTGTTAAGATTCAAACTTGCCCCAAGTTCTAATGAACTCCACCCGCAGAATGTCTTCAGCAACAGGTCCCTGCTAATCCACTGGGTGACCTGGCTGCTTCTCTCAGGACAATGTCTGCCTTATTGTTGGGCTTGCCTGCTGATTTCTGGACTCTTTACATGTGTCTTTCTTGTTCACCAGGATACCCTGGAAGTGGCTGCCTAGGTTAGAAAAATTTTGTTCTTTACATCCTCTTCCAAAGATGAAATGGATAGAGTAGAAATCAATTTGCAAGAGACTCATCCCAAGCAGACATCTTTGAGTGTTCAAGTCAAAACCAGTGGACACTAAGGGAAGCTGGTCCCGTGGTTGTCACAATGCTCTAGGAGCACTGGCGGAGGTGGGGGGCCAGGGTTCTTTCCCCCCCTTGCACCGCCTCTGTGTTTATTACCATGCTGCCTCATCCCTGCCTCCTCTCTCTCTGTAGTTCCGGCTTGGGCATCTTCGCCATTGCTCATGCAGCCATCTGTAGACCTACGGCCTTTCTGACCTACATTTATAAATACATCTTCCATATTCCTCTTCTTATAAGTGACTTCTCTACTGGATTGCTAATTGATCATAAACCTCATAGTCTGCTCATAGACCTGCTATCCCCTGTCTCCACACTGCATTCTTGTTTGCTCTAGAAAATCCTCTTGTCCACCCTAACTACACCCACTGCCATACTGACCCAGAGGCTCTGGGAGTGACCCAGGACCTAAGTTCCCTTTTCTAGCTCCTGAAGGCGATTTTCTTCGGTGATGGTTCTTGACCTCATTTTTGAGGCACACTTTCAAATCCAGCTCTGAAATGTTAGGCTGAATACTGGAAAAGGTACACACACACACGCGCGTGTGTCCATGCAGCATGTATGCACACTTCCATGACGCAAAAGCCATGTCTCTCAATGCAGTGACTCCGCATCCAGTGTGTCTTTCGGTAGCCTGTGTCCCTGTTCGTGTGGGCCCTTTTAGTGCGATACCCGTGTCTCATACACCTGGCTGGCAAAGCTGGGCATGTATCAGATATTTTGGCAAACACATTCTTTCTTTGGCCCTTGGCTTTTGTTGAAAACAAGCTCAACCCAGGTCTGCACTCTCCTGGACACAAGGGAAGCAGCTTGGCTGGCCACGTCAGCCTCACTCTGAAACAATGTATTTATTTACTGATTATTCATTCAGTCACCAATATTCGTTGGTCCTTCTCCCGGATAGAGTCTAGTCTTTGAATTGAAGAGAGAGGTCAATGCGTAGTTTTAAAAAAACATGTGATGGAAATAAATTTTATCTGAATAAATTATGGATGGAAGGGGAAAAGTTGGTAGGATTAGTTGGAGAGTTGCATAAATAATAATAATAACATGTTAGAAAATGTAGGTCAACATGGTGTTTTCCTTTTGAGTGAAGGTAACTCAAGTAAGACATTAAATTCATGCGGTGTCTCCACACTGGGGACACACGTGTGTTTTGCGTCAGAAACTTGAACGTGAATGTGAAACTTCGGAGCCCGGTCGAGTGTGTCTGCCCCTGTCTGTCCTATTCAGAAGTGTCAGAATTTGGGTGCATCAGAAGAGTTACCATGGGCATAACATTTAAAGACACATGAGTCTTCTGATGCTTAGTCAAGGGAACGTCTCAGCCAGAAGCTATGTGAGCTTCAGAAACCTTACCAGTAAAGAGAAGACAGGACCTACCTACATACCAGCCAACCTGACAGCTGTAACACTCTGTCCCAGATCCCAGTGCAGTACTACAGTCAAAGTCCTGTGGGTCAATGCAAGCTTCCGAAAAGTCTCATTCAACTGGCATTTGAAGTTCTTAACGTTGAAGACTGGGAGGAGATGGTGCAGCATTTTGCTGAAGGGGAGAAAGAGAGAGAAATCCCTGAGTCATGCTCCGTAGAGGTCGTGGTGATTGTGGGCTCAGATGTCCAGACAGAAGGAGGAAGCAGTGAGGGGCGGGGGGAGAAAATGGTG